GAGGAAAATTCCAAGTGGTTCATTGCCTTAATTTTCTCTCATTTCACCACCCACTGTCAGCCAGGGCTGGAGAACAGACTCTACCTTCAGCTCGGCAGGCTAGATTCGACTCTCACTAGAGACCTTCACTGGTGACTTGAGTATTTCGCTTCTTATTTATCTGTATAGCCTTCTATTTAATAAACTCGAGATCTGCAAAGCACATTCCATGGAGGAAGTCTGCACAAAGCTGATGGGATGTGTGGGTGTGCACACATTAGACAAAGAGAAAAGTTACTCTCTGCATGCAATGAGCCAAATTATCCCAATTCCTTTGTAGAGAAGTGTTTTTCCCTTCTTCTTCTTTCTTTTTTTCTGTATAAATAATATCTAGCTGAGATTTCAGGTCCTTGGTGTTTTAGTAGGACCCCACAGGTGTGGGAAAGGGCCACATGCCAATGGCCAGGGCATAGCTTACAAGATCTCTGTCCCTCCTTATAAACATTTGTTTTCAAGCTCAAGGTGCCTTGTCATTGCCCTGATTTCAGAGTTGGGCCTCATAAAGCCAGCAACGGTAAGACCAAAATAATGTCATTTAGTGTCTGGGGGGGAGAGGGGTTAAAAAAAGGATTAGAGGCAAGCAGGCCAGGGATATTAAATGAGTCCATGACTAACAGGGTGTGACAGAAAGGGTTTTATTCTTTTCAACAAAACAATTCCCTAGGGCTGGGACCATTACTCCACTGTGCCTTTATCACCTTGGAATTTTTATGGTTATTTTTGATGAATTCACATTTTTGTAAAGGCTTTTTTGAAATAATGCCAGTTTTCAATTTTAATTAAAGTCGTAAATAATCTTAATTCTGCCTTAAAAGGTTTATTGTTTCTTACATTTTTTTTTTTATTATTGCTGCCAGGAAATATTTCAAATACCAAGCCCTGATGTGAGTTAGCAATTAGACTCTCTCCAAGGTCTAGTAACAACATTGTACCATGTAAATATTACACACCAGTATACCAGCACAAGGTTCGAACATGCGGATTGATTGATTTCAGGTTTATTAGCACTGTTTCTTCTGGGAGGGACATTTCCTCTTTTTATTGGGTGGAACAACTTTTTTTCATTTTAATCTCCATAAATTAATCCATCATAGATCTATAAAGGATTTTTAAATCTTTATATTAAAAAGATAGGTTAGAATTCAGGAAGTAAACACAGTAAACTTGTCACTAAAGACCAGGCAATGAAAGTCAGCCAAATCCTACTCAATCATCTGCACAAAACTGAGCGAACATCAAAAGCTAAATCATCAGAGACAAAAGTTATTTTACTTAAGAAAAGATTATGACAATACTGATATACTTGACATTAGATTACAATACTGTTTCTTGTTAGCTAGATTGACTGTTGAAGGTTTGTCTGCAAATTGTCTATAAATTTATAATATGTAATCATAAAGTCTGATTTTCTTTTTTAAAATAGTGCTCTGAGCATCTTTCACATAAACTACTCTTCCTTTATAGTGGCTGAAATGTACCATGTTTGAACAATAGAAACCATTAACACTTCCTGAAAATGTACATTATGTTTCCATACTCACTGTCACTACATATTGTAGCTTATTTGTCTCAATATGGGACTTCTATTCTGTCATATCCATGACAACTGTTACTATCTACGAAAGTGTTCTCCAATCTCAGGTCAGATTTGCCATTATAGTAAAACCTAATTATGACCTGGAGAATGGTCATATTTAGAGGAAAAAACTCTCATCAAAAGGTTTTTGTTTGTTTTTAACAAACACAACTTATCACTTCAAGGTTATACAACATACACAGACAAAGACAAAAACCATTAGGCTGTAGCCCTGATGAACGTTAATGGTATGCAACAATGATGTATTATTTTAACACTATTAACTTGGCTGGCGTTAAAGCATCCACCTGCAGATCTAGGATTCGATTCCTGAACAGGGCATCATAGCCCAGTTGCAGGTTCCCCTGCCCCAGCAGGGGCATGTATGGGAGGCAACCAGTCCATGGTTCTCTCTAACTCTCCTCTCCTTCTCGCTCCTCCATTCTCTTCAAAAATCAGTGGAAAAAATATATCCTTGGTGAGGATTAAAAAAAAAAAAGAATATTAAAAATCTCCTTACAACTTTATTTATATTGTAATATTACTCATTTAGTTCCTTTGCTCTTTCAAAATAAAAGAACATATCTAATCCACACAAATGATCATCTATTATTGTTGATACTATTATATGTTGATAATAATCATCTATTATCAACTTACTGGGATTCTAATTAAAGAGACCTAACTATATTTATAGAGAAAAAAAAATGATTTCAACAATTGGCTTACTAAAGTGGGTTTGCATACAATTAAGAATATCCTGAAGAGTTTTACGCTAATCAAAATAAACCAGTCAGAGGAAGATAAGTATACATGATCTCACTCGTATGTGGAGTCTAATGAAAAAAATAAACTGATGAACAAAATAGATCCAGATACATAGAAGCATGGAGCATACTGTTGACCCTCAGAGGGAAGGTGGGGAAGAGTGGGTGGGTGGGAAGAGATCAACCAAAGAATTTCTATGCATATATGCATAACCCATGGACATAGATAATTGGGTAGTGAAGGCCTGGGGTGGAGGTTGGGGATAGACTAGAAGAGGTTAATGGGGTGAAGGGGAAGGGACATATATAAGACTTTCAAAAATAAAGATTAAAAAATAATAATAATAATAATATCTATCACATCCTTTTAGTGGACATTTTTCTAACAGGGAAGAGGTCAAATTATTTCCATATATAAGCCCTCAACTAACTGGCTTTGTGCTAATACCTCTCAAGGAAGAGTAACAAAAAGACTACAGAGCATTTCCCAACATAAAAAGGTTATATCCCTAAAACCATGAAAGAATACAAGATTCTAATTAGCTAGAATTCATGGTTTGCTTTAAAAACCATGGCCAATAGGTTCAATCACTTGAAATAAGTTGAGTCTCAAACTTCCCTTAAGTTGGTTATGAAGGACCCTTAAATGAATCAGGTACCCACCTGAACACAAATGAAATATTCAAAAAGCCACAGTCAAGTGAACATATTTTTGCCATAGTCAAAATATGTATAAGGGTTGGTCCAAAGTTTACAAACTCAATTATTAGGAAATTAGAGGTCTGGTGCACGAAATCGTGCACAGGTGGTGTCACTTGGGGTAGCCTTCGGGCTTAAGACTGAAACCCACAGTCCAACGCCACTGCAGCTCCTACCAGCCACTCCAGCTCATCGTGGCCCCACTGTGCTTGCCAGGGGCTTGTGCCCAAACAGTCCCAATTGGGAGAGGCTTGTACCACCACAGCAGTGCTCACCAGCAGTGAGCCCTGCACCTGGCGTCCTCCTGAGGGGAATGGCCTACAGGATCCGGCTGAAATTGGCTTTTTGACATTACCCAAGGGATTTCAGATCACGAGAGGGTGTCCGCCAGGCCAAGGGACCCCACCAGGGACTGAAGAAGGACTGAAGAAATACTGCAGGAGGGTTCCATGGCATGCCCAACCCATCTTGTTTAGTCCTGATCTGCTGGACCCCAGCAGCAAGCTAACCTACCAGTTGGAGTGTCTGCCCACTGGTGGTCAGTGCACAACATAGCAAGTGGTTGTGATTTAGTATATCACTAGCATATTACACTTTGATTGATTGCTACCGATTATTGGATGACAGAATACTTAGCATATTAGGCTTTTATTATATAGGATGCCCTGTGAGGTGGTAAGCTCCTCATCTCTTGAGGCATTGAATCACAGCACAGCCAACCACTTGCTGGAGGACTTATGAGGTCAGGAGAACAAGTCAGATGTGTTGGCTGGTTGATCTTTAGCATTGCTTCTAAACATAAAATACTATGATTTCTATAAGCTTTGAAAGATATATTGATCCCTCATTGATGTCAAAGTAATTTTAGGCTCAATTCCTTTCTCATATTTTCATTCACTGTACCTATTAAGAAACATTTCTTTTAAATCCTCACCTGAAGATATTTTGTTTTCATTGATTTTTAGAAAGAGTGGAAGGGAGGGAGTAGGGAGAGAGAGAAACATGGACGCAAGACAGACACATCAATTGGTTGCTTCCCATACATGCCCTGACTGAGGGTGGGGAACCTGCAATCCAGATACAGGCCCTTGACTCCAGAATCAAACCAAGATGGACTCTTTGGTCTGATGTCTGATGCTCTAACCACCGAGCTAAATTGGCCAGGACAATAAATATTTTTCCCCTAAGCTTAAAGGGAGGAATGCTTCTATTATTACTCATCCTAGAGACTAACCTACCTTCTTCATTGGAGTTAAAATTATTTTAGCCCATCTATATTTTGTGAAAAAGCACTTATCTCCAGACAGGATTTCTGATGTGTTATTTTTTCCAATTCAATATTCTTGTTATTTGGACTTAATTTCCATAAAAGCCTTTTATTATTTTCTAATTTAGGAGACTTATACTTAATTTTCTCTGATACCTATTCATATCGGGCTATATCAGCTATACATATCACAACCTTGCTATTACAGGCATCCTTCACAGATATTTCAGGTTTGGTTCCAGAACTCTGCAATAAAGCAAGCCACAGGTATTTTTTGGTTTCCCCATACATATAATAAGTATAGTCTTATAAGTGTGCAGTAGCATTATGTCTAAAAAAAACAATGTACATACTTTAATTTAAAAATACTTTATTGCTAAAAAAAAAAAATGGTAACCATCATTTGAGCCTTCAGGGAGTCAATCTTTTGGCTGGTAGATGGTCTTATAAAAAACAATACCTGGTAAGAGCAATAAACAGAACCCAATAAAATAAAGGATGCCTGTTATTTTATGGGAGACTTCTCTCTGCAAAGCGTCTAACACATATCAAACCTTGAAAAGTATACGAATTTCCAATGCCCTGCAGGAGCTCCCACTATTCAAGAATTTAACTGCTTTTTCTGACTACGTAACTTCTTTTTAAAAATTACCTTTTTCCTCGCTTGTTGTTCTTTGGAAGAATGAGCCTTCACGTGCTTTCTTAGGGAACTTGGGTCTGTGTAGCGTTTGGTGCATCCTGGAATCTGACAAGCATAAGGTTTCTAAATAAGAAAGACAGAAAGAAATGGCTATGGTTAAATCCTAAAAATAACTGGGGAAGGTCTACTTAAAGACTATTTATTAGCATGAGCGATTATCAACTGATATAAAATGTTTGGTAATATGTGGACATTTAATAAGAAAGGCCAGTAAGTTTGCATCAAGGCAGAAAGGAGAGTAAACTTTCAAGAAACAAAGAGATTGCCTATCCTTCATGATTTTTAAGAAATTGCCACAGAATGTACTTTTACAGGAATCTCTTGTGGCATTTTTTAAACATGGAAATTATTAGTAAACATATCTGGTCATACTTACAGTTATGTTCCCCTGAAAATAGTCATTGGGACTGTCAGAAACTAGGAAACACACATTCTTTAAGAGTTCAGGTATAAAGAAGCTGTAGAAAAGTCCAGAAAAGACTGGGAATGTTTCAGAAGAAACCTGATTCAGAAAAAGACAGAGAGAGAATTAAAAAGGAAAATTAGTAGAAAATGAGTAGGATACAGGCTTCAAACAACAGACACATGAAAAATCAGCCAGAGGGACATTAATGGCATTAGTTGCAGAGAAGTCATGATATTAAGCCTGGGGTGTGTGAATAAGCTGTTGGCTGAGTGTGATGAGAGCAGAAGTTTTGCTACTCCAATTCCTCGCTGCTCCTGAGCAATGTGAAGTGTGGAGCTTAAGGCTGAGTCTGAAGTCCTTTTTATTTTTGTACTGTACAATTATTTCCGTTTGGGTATTAATATGCTAACAGAAAACTGAATTAAAACTATTCAGAGTTAGAATTATGAACTCAGTCATCTTTATGGAAAAACCATTTTCCTGTAAGTAAAGACTCCACTTAGCGAAGAAAGATCTTTTATCCAAACTTCTAAAAGCATTTAGCATAAGGAGTACTTACTGAAAGAGAGTGAACACCTAAATTAAAATAACAAATTTTTTCAGCAACTACAGTGTGCTCTTTAAAACAAATGTTTCATTTCTATATGATTTTAAGAAAGCACATCAAATTGTTAAACACAATAAAAATTTAAACCATAGGTAGTTTGTATCTTAAAAGTAAAAATGATGACTTCAATCAAATAAGACCCAAAGCATGGAGGTATGGGACAGATGGACATACCTCAATGTGGGGTTAGGGGGATGAGAAGAGATAAACCAAATAACTTATATACTTATATGCACAGTCCATGGACAAGGGCAATAGAGTAGTGAAGACCTAAGGGAGAGGGTAAGGGCTGGGAGGAGGGAGGGAAAGAGGGAGAAAATAGGAGATATCTGTAATACTATCAATAATAAAAAATATATTTTAAAATACTTAATAAAGAAGTGATTTAAAAAAAATAAAAATAGATGAGTTTTAAAAGCTACTGCATTGAAGTGAATCATAAAATCATTATCTTAGGTAGTTTTCCTCAAAAGTTTTAAAAAGGGATATTTTTTAAAATTCCAAAATTATTTTAGAAAATGCTCTTAAGTTTGATTAGCTAAAATTAGCTCCAAGCAAAGAAGGGTATAGTAGAACTCTAACACTTAGCTTCACAATAGTTCTTTCAAACTACAGATAACTAGCTAGAGTAGAAGCAATTTCTCAATCTTGTCTCATGAATGTTCATTCTTCCATGATAATGTTTAATGATAAATTGAAAAAGTTATTGGATTCTATCCAGACCATTTTAAACATATTAAAATAAGGCATTTTTTAACATAATATATCTTTTTTTTCTATTTCTACCTTTAAAAAATACTGCTATTCACCAAATTTACTCATTTAATATTCTTTTCTGTTGGTCCTAAAATCACTTAATTCAATTCAGCTGAAGCAGGAAGGGTCAAACTTATATTCATATTACTTTAATCATATTTCAGATATTTACTAGGCAAACCATCACATTTATGTATAGCAGGAGATAATTCTGTTTAGAAAGGTTACATGACATAGTTAAAATGACTTTTATCAATATGACTAATAGAGGCTAATAAAAAATTTAATAAATATGTCAACTATAACAAGAATATTAAATATGTATGAGAAGGTATGTAGAAATCACAGTATCTTTTCAAAATTAAAATTCTGGTGTAGTTTAATAATAGACATCAGAATGTTAACACTGAAAAAGTACTGTCATGAATATATTATTTGCAAGAATATGGGATAAGAGATCTGTGATGTGTATAATGCATTTATCCTGATGGTTTTAAGTGAAGTGAAATTACATACAGTCTACCTGGCCTCATATAAGGAAAATGGCATCAAAACCTGAGAAATGCAAAGAAGAACATTCAACATAATTGAGAATATAAAAGCTAGTGTGGAGTCTAGCAAAGACATTTGTAAATGCTCTAAGAAGGTGTGATAATGAAAATCATAAAACTGAGCCCTGGGGAGAGAGTTGCTGATTCTTTTTAGATTACTTAAAGATGAGAATACCAGGGGGTTTCTAAAGCAAAAGGCCACATTCACTCTCAAAACCCATGCCAGCCTCCACTTGTTTATGTCAAGAAGCAAAGAACCAAAATAAGAAAAGAAAAAAAAAAAAGGTACAGTTGTTGGTATGGGAAATAATACAATAATTAATAAGTAATAATACAAGAATAAATTGTTTTGCTTGCTCATGACTGTAAACCTACTTTTGCCACAGCCTGTATATTGTGTGTCTTAGTACATTTTGATATTTGAATACTTAAAGTAACGCTCAATCTGTAGTGGTCATTCTCTGTATTAAAATATACTATATGACAGTCCCTAAACTGCCTCCACATAGGACACAGAGGTCACCAAAAAACTCCTTAGTCCCAGGCAGCTGTAATATTTAGGATACTCATGACTACAGAAAAATAAGGAAAGAGCCAAACAAGGCCACTCTGGCTCATTACCAGGTTCCATTGCTGCCCTTGGCATTACCCCTATAGTCTGCAGGCCATAAAGCAAACACCTTCACCATCCTACTATCAAAAGGGCACTTCCTCACACCGAGCTTCGGGCTGAGAGTTGGAAAGCTCCTGCCATTCTTACAGTGTCCAGATGAGTCCTCTGATGCTTGGCGCGGTCGCTGGAGTTACTGAAGGCCTTCTGACAGCCCGGATGCTGGCACAAGTAAGGTTTCTCGCCCGTGTGACTCCGCAAGTGAATCTTGAGATTTTCGAGCCTTGAAAAGGCCTTCTTGCAACCTTCAAACTGCAGAGAGAAAACAATTTGGGGTTGTTGAAAAGGACCTTGAGAGCTTGAGTTTGAGGGACAGAAATTATGTTCTTAGTTTGTACTTAGCATAAAATAAAAAATAAAAATGAAATCCAAACAGTAACAAATATTACTTCTAAATATATGTATACAAGTTTATGCAAACTGCACTTTTCCACTAAATATACATGCCACTTTCTGAATCAGACTTGGGTCCCAAACTGAATCCTGTGATGACTTATGTCAGAGAAAATTCACTGTGAGCCATCTGGCTCAGTTAATAAAAATACAGTAAAGCATGCCTTAAAGATTTATTAAAAAATTAACATACTTTTCCACTTCCAAATTGGTCTTAATTGAAGGAACCAGGAAGGAAGAAACTTTTTACAAAATAAACTAACAAGAAAAATTAGAGTGATTATGAGGAAAAAAAGTGAATCGAAGATCCAAGAGTTCAAGATGAAAAAGGTATGTGTCATTGAATTATTATCATAAACTTGCTTAACTCTATTTTAAGGAGTTTTCCAAATCCCAAAAGGTTGAACTTGTTAAGGGTAATGCCAAGCCTGAGACACAGTTTTTAAACAGGCTTTCAAAAGGGTACTAAAAGACAATTCATTTAATGCTAAATAATTTTCCTAATAAAGTAATGGTTTTATTTATTTTCTTTCTTCTTTAAAAAAATTTTTTTGGTTACCTAGTTCCAGAAGAAAATAATTAAAAATGAAAGACTGTCAAGTTCAAGAAATGCTTCAATGGTTTATCAATAATATGTACTCATGGTAATTTTTATATAATGCCTTCTGTGGGCAAAATATCAGCCATCATTAGCTAGTGAAAGAGATTCCAATCCTTGAAATGACAATCTAATAAAGAAAATATGTTAGAGCAAGCCTATAAAGGAAGCATAAAGGTGAGATGGGCACTTTTATCCTTTAACTCTCTCATTGGTGCTAAGCCCCAAAATATTTGTCACTTTGACAGTTTTAATAGCATTGGCATTTCCACAAAAGAGAAACTTATGAATATGGAGAAAATTAATAAGAACAAAGCATAATATATTTACAGCAATTAAGAAACCACACTTCCTATAGAGGAATGCATGTGTGAGGAGAGGTGGGAAACACAGAATCTAGTCAAAGGTAAGTACTAGATGGTTTCCATTCAAAATTAGCAGGTATTACCTAACCTTACTTCAAGATCTTTCATGAAAGTCTTTGGTTCTCTTGCTTATTACATTAGGTGATGGAGTACAATGTTCATGAAGGGATGATCCAGAGCTGGCCAGGTTTTAGTTATTAGGATTTTCCTTTTTAAGTAAAGGATGAACTAATGAGGAAGGATATTCAAACATGTCATAACCCCATCTTTTTAAGTTGTCCAGATTTTGTATGCTTAAGTATTTTAAGAAATATATGAAAGTTGCACTTACCTTTTCGATTGATAGTTATACATGTTTCATAGACATATGTTGGTTTATTTTAATTTTTATATTTTGCTTAAAATAATTTTGGTGTTTTCCTGATTTTTTATAATTTTAACCTGAACAGAAAATGATTGCTGATGAAGGCAACTACTTTTGCAAGAGTGAAAGATAGAATGCTAGGTCGCTGGGGGAAAGGAGGAGTTAAATGATTTATTTCCAAAGATTTTCAACTGGCTCACAAGTTTGAGAATAAAGGTGCTCAGAGTTAACCCCAAATTCATAGCTAAGAGGCCTCTGTTGACCAAACCTCTGTTTTTAAGGTTCTCTCTGAATGACAACTCACAACAACCTCTTGGAGCTCAGATTATTTTACTTGGAATCACTTGGTGGACCACACTTAGGTCTAAAATGAGCCTGTGGTTTTGAACACATCAAGCCTGTAGCCTATTTCATACCAAGGCTCTTTTGTAAGTGGACACCATTCTGGGGCCAGTTCCAGGGGTGCATACCCAGACGTGGGTAGGCCCCAGCATCCACTCCCTTCGGCAGTCCCCAGATCTTGGTAAAAGAACAGGCTGTATTGTTTCAGCACCAACATGGGAGTGGAGAACCACTTGAGAATAGATTAATGAGGTTTTTGTGAGTACTGGACAAACAAGCCTCTGGATCTACCATGAAGTGATTAGAGGGATTTCAGACATGTCCCAGAACTAATGCAATATGTCCCATAGATCAGACACAAACTGGACGCAGACTAGCATTTCCAAGGTCTCTCTGGTTAAATGTCCAATTGAATCTCCAATTAAAAGTCAACTAATTGCTACTATTGCTGTTCACAGAAGCAATGATCAAAGATCAAGGGGCTACACTCCAAGCCAGTCAGTGAAAAGTGAACTACATATCAGAATATCCTGACCATTTTTAAATAGCAAAGATGAAGGAAAATATGAACACCTAGACTAAAAAATTACAACAAAAAATTATCTATAAAGTCATGAAAATCCAGCTGATTTCAGATGTTTCCTCTGTAACAAAAGTCAGGAGATAAAAGTATTTGTATTATTTGTACTAGCATCATAGTATTTTCAGGGGAAATGATTAAGAGTGAAGGGCTTGCCGAAACTGGTTTGGCTCAGTGGATAGTGTCAGCCTGCTGACTGAAAGGTCCCAGGTTTGATTCTGGTCAAGGGCATGTACCTTGGTTGTGGGCACATTCCCAGTAGGGAGTGTGCAAGAGGCAGCTGATTGATGTTTCTAACTCTCTATCCTTCTCCCTTCCTCTCTGTAAAAAAATCAATAAAATATACTTTTTATTAAAAAAAAAAAAAGTGAAAGGCTTGTATAAAGAAAGGCAAAAGATAGGTAATTTCATGTACTCAGACTCAATATACACCACATGCTCACTCTTATTGGAGAAATTCACTAAAAGCAAAACAAAACAAAACAAAACAAAACAAAACCCAACAAAACAAAACACAACCATGAACCAAGACCAGTAAAAGCAGGCGCTGAAGAACTGACAAGTGTCGCAGCGGGGAGGCCTAGCACCCAATCTATCAGGTGTGTGCAGGGCAGCACACCTGAATGAACTTGACACACTAACAATTCTGAAAGAGGGAGAAGGTGCTATTCATCTCTCTAATGGTGTCTGGATAAAACTTGAAAGCAAACGATTCTATAATGAATCATTATTATTCATTATGAGAATAACCCTGTAATTCAACACAAGATTTCCGTCTCCTTCAGGCAATTTTACCCCTAGGGCTATAAGTTTAATTAAATGCAAATGCATTAAAAATAAACTAACTTTTAGGTAGAACTACAAAAGATAGTTACAAAATACCAAAACTGAATGCTTTGGATGTGTGGGCAAATGAACACCTTTTTTCCCTTATTTTTTCCCAAATCTTTAGTGAATATCTAAACCTAGGAAAGCAAGGACCACAGGAGGAGTGTTTCCTTGGTTCAGCCAAATGTTTTCTTATCAAGGTTCCTAAAGTGCAAGGTCCCTCCTGAAATTTTTTTTAAAATATTTTTTATTGATATTTTACAGAGAGGAAGAGAGAGAGAGAGAGCTAGAAACGTCAATGAGAGAGAAACATCGACCAGCTGCCTCTTGCACACCTCCTTCCAGGGATGTGCCCGCAACCAAGGTACATCATGCCCTTGACCGGAATCGAACCAGGGACCTTTCAGTTCACAGACCGACGCTCTACCGCTGAGCCAAACCGGTTACGGCCCTCCTGAGATTTAAGGTTAAAATCATCACCTGACTTCTCATGTCACTGTCACCAACCAACACTGACGCAAAAATTGACCAATTTCCTGGTATTAGGTCCTCTCCTACTGGACTTACTAAGGAACCCAGAACCGACGGCCCCGTGACACACAACTAGATGAACAGGCCTGAGGTAGCCTGTAGTTCAAACATAGACCCAATATGAGAAGACAACAGAAAAACAACCAACAGATTCTCAGCATCAGCAGGATAAGCAGAAGGAGGTAACATGGAAGGGGATGATGGTGAAAAGCATTTGGTATACATTAATAATTTCATCTAAATAGCATTACTCCCCTTCCCCCCAACAAATACTGAGTAAGCCCTATGAGTGTGGCACTATGTGTTAGGTATTGGGGGGATCAAGATGAATACAATACAAACAACGCTCATGGAAAGATGAAAGCAAAGCCTGGGCAGGGCACATACTGGTGAACCTTGAGCATGATTCTCCAAGCTGTCTGCCTCGTCAGTGTTTGTCTGAACCACAAATTCTCTTACCCCGCCCCAGATTTTTAGAACAAAACCCGGTTCTGGGGCCCAATGTCTGAGTGTTAACAAGCCCTCCAAAAAGATTCTGGTGTGACAGTGTGCCAATGAGTTCAGAAATGCCATTTATTGTAATCACTGTCAGTTTTCTTATGAAAACCTCCTGACAGCAGTGAGTATCTAGCAGTGAGTGGGGATTTTATCCATTTCTAATTGGGACAAGAGTCCATGGACTAGCAGCAGCGCTAGCCTGGAAAGGAACATCTCCAGTCCAGGGCTGGGCAAGGTTATCTCCTCCTGCACAGCCTATCGACAAAATCTCAGAATGCCATTCTCAGGTTAGGAATTCTTTGAACTCTCCACACTCTTTAACCTGCTGCCAGGCAGATGTCGGGTTCTGAAGTAGGTGGGGCTGTAAGTTCCCTCCGTGGCACCCTTACCACAGAACACCCCACGTTCCCACCGCCCACTGCGGTCCTTTATTGAGGAAAAGCACTCCAGGGAGTCATCATTTTCCATTTGCACATTTCAGTGGCCTTACAGACACACAAGGGAATAAAATATAAGACTGGAAGTGACAGAACTTTACATCTCGCTGGGTCTGAAAAGACGGCATTGCATGAAGCCTCGCTCTAAGAAATATCTCTTTAAGTCTGCGGCTGTTTTCAAGTAACCAACTTTAATTAATAAGTATAAGTTGCCTTAAACCCGGAGAACCCTAGCTTGCAGCACTTAGCTAATTCAGGAGATTATTTCATATTTAAAGGATCACAACGGAACTGTAATCACCATCTCTATATATTG